CTCACCTCTAAGGGCCCCCAGCCGCAGCACTGTCCTCCTGCACAGCCTCTTCACGAGCTTTGGGGTTGCTGGCGGTGGACTGGACGGCGCCCCACCGCTTCCCTGAGCCCTCCCTCCTGGCACAGCCCACGTCCAGTTGTCACTTTACCATCTCCAGCAGCTTCCGGGGCCTGCCTTAAAAAGCACCACAAGCAGTGGCTTAAGACCACAGAAATTTTTTTTCATAATTCTTGAGGCTGGAAGTCTGAGATCATATCTGGGCAGGCCTTCCTCGACTCTTCAGCTCCTGGTGGTGGCTGTCGGCCCCCAGCATCCCTTGGTTTGCGGACGCAGCATCCCAAGACCTACCTCTGTCCTCGCACGGCCTCCTTCTCCCTGTGAGTGTCTAGGAATCGTTCCCCCTCAGTGCGTGTCTGTGCCTCGGCTCCCCTCAGGCCTGAGGGCGGGCTCTGGTGGCCCTGATGGACGACCATGAATCCCAGAAGGCCGTGAGGTTGCCAGGGGACAGCAGCAGCAGAGCAGCAACATGGCAGGGGGTCCTGGCAGGTCCCCTTCCTGCTCCTGTGGGGCTCCTCCTTGGCTCCCTTTCCTGCCCCCTCCCCCACAGGTCCTGGTGCACCCTGATGCTCCCAGAGCCTGCACCCCTGTTGATGTCACCCCATCCCCTTGTCCAGGTGGCTCTGAGACTAAGCAAGACAGCTCAGTCTTTCAGTTCCCACGTGTGACAAAACAGCTCATCCCAAGGAGACCCAGGGCTCTGTGATCCCCTCGAAAGTGAGAGGTTCCAGGAAACTCAGAAACTGTGCCCTTGGCAGCTGCTCCACTGAGTCCATGGCTGTGAGCGGGTCAGCGCACAGCCAGGACCTCTGGCCAGCAGAGGAGCAGGCGTGGGTTTGCAAACTTGACTCCATGCCTCTTGCCACATCTGTGATGTTTGGCCACTTGGCCCCCATGAATCTGCTTACTCTGTGAAATGGGAAAACCATCCTCTGTCCCAAGCACCCAGCAGGCTGCAGACCAAACAAGACACCGGATGTGTGGTTCCGTGAACACAGCTCAGTGCCTCTGGGTTCCCATAGCACCTGGCTGCACGTGGAACTCCCTGAGGAGCATTTTAAAGCTCTTTGGGTGATTCTAAACTAGCGTCAAGGTGGAGACCCTCTGGCTCATCTTTGCAGCCTCTGCCACCGGAAGCCTGCCCCTGCTGGTTGGTTCCTGCTGGGGGCGCCAGCCTCCCTCGAAGCTCTGGGGACGGGGCCTCTCCTGGCAGGGTCAGGCTCCCGGGGACCTGGAGGGAGACAGCCGCCGCAAGTCCTTGTTGGGTCTTTATCTTTATTTTTTAATTGTCCAAATGTCCTGAGCACAGAGGTTCCTTTCAACCCAAAGACTCTGGGAATGTGTGTTCTAAACTGGAGCTACCCTCCCTGAGAAGGTCCCCCTCTTGACCCTGTTCCCAGCCTCCTCCCCATCTCGGCTGGGAAGGGCCCCTCCTCTCGGCTCCCATAGTGCCCGGGACCAAGGTCTGTCAGTGTGCACCCCGTGGTACTGTGCCATTGTCCTGATGTCGTCCTTGTTCCTGTAGCCCCGGGCTGAGGGGCCCTTCATAGGCCTGCATGCAGTGGGCGCCTAACTGATGCAAGTGCATATCTCCGCCATCTCTCCCTCCATGAGGACAGAAGGGTACTCTGCTGATTTAAGCCTGGAAGTTGTGTCCCAAGAAAGTGTGACTTAGGTAGCATTGATTCAAACCTTCTCTTTTCCACCCTAAATTCTGTACACAGGGAAGAGAAAGGAGGTCTTGTCGCATCAGGAGGGATGTGGGTTAAGACCTGGACGAGCGACCCCCAACCCAGAACATTCAGGGCTCCAGCCAGTGTGTGCTGGAGTTCGTATCCTGCCTGGGAGGGGCGGCGTTCTGGAAGGGAAGCAGGTAGGCCAGATGGCTGTGATGTCTCTGCGGGCAGCACCCCTGCACCCCGGGTAAGTGACCCGTGGCTCAGGGGCTCGAGCTAGCCTGTGAGCCAGCCCCAGACCACAGGCTGCTGCCTCAGGCCGTGGAAGTGTTCTGATCACAGATGGGGCACCTCTGCCTCCCAGAGAGTCTGCTGCTCTCTCCAGCCTCGGGAGGGAACAGACGCTCTTCCCTTCCCTGCTGGCACCTGCATGCTCACGCGTCCCCTGACCTTGAGCACCAGCTCAACTGTGGAAACGGTGATGCTTGTACGTGCACAGCATAACTGCTGAGTGAGTGCTTGTCCGAAGCAATGAGGCAGCAGGAGCTGAGGGCCAGGCGCTGTCCTACACACGTCCCGTGTGTCAGCTCACTTCGTCCTCAGGGCAGGTCTGTGAGGGTGGCACTTGCATGGCTCCCCACTTTGTAGAGCAGGAAGCTGTGGGGGAGGCTAGGCAGATCAGGCGGCGTCGGGGGGGCATGGGCTCTGCTGTCGAGGTGAGGGGCCATCGCAGGCCACTGCCAAGGCGGGCCACTCAGCTTGACTCTCTGTGGCCACCTCTGCCCCGTACGCTGCTCTCGGAGACCGGGCGCTGGAGGTCATTTAGGGGACAGTCTGTACGTCGTGCGT